CCCCAAAACCCCAAAACCCCAAAACCCCAAAACCCCAAAAACTTAGTTACAAGTTGAAACAGTTTGATTATAAAATTTTTGAAGAATAGGATAAATTTATGGATAGTACATTGAATACTGAAGGATCTGTATGCCAACAAGATGCCAAGCCTTCCGGATGCTTTGTTAATATTAAAGTTCGAGATGCGAAAAGAGAAGAGCAGATATATGTTCAGGATCTTTTGAACTCACAGTAAACCTAAATAAAATAGACTATAGATCACCTCCGGCCACTGAAGGAATTACTCTAAACTACGCTCAGCTTAAAAAGAGTATTCGTAAAAGGACTTCTCGAGTCAGAAAGATGTCTAGAAAGAAATCTAAAAGTACTCTGAATGGTGGAATTAGCATTAACAAGACGATTCTACCAGCCGGTAAATAGTTATGATGACCAATTAGAGCATTCAAAGACTCCTAATACAAACAGGAGCAGATTTGTTATCCGAAAGAATAAAATTCCTATCCAGAATTATTTTCATAAATAACAATGCTGTTGATAGGAATATTAAAAGGCTGAAGATCAATAATGGGATTCGGAAGTTGTTGCAGTCTGGCAACCTGAAAGCTGAGAAGAAGGGGTCTATGACCAGAAGTCTCAAATTAAGTAAGGGCTCCTAGTTGTATGGGAAGATTAATTTTAGATAAACCAATTGCCCGTAGGAGACGTTTTCTCCCTCCAAGGACGACCAAGGGAGTTTTGAGAATATACAAGTCTAAATCTGCTGATAAGACAGGCAAAGTCATGGTCATGAAAGGTGAATCACTAAACTTCGTATTTTTTTTGTTAAATTTTAGAATTTTGGGGAGGAAGATAAGGACATGCTCAAAGATACTCTTTTTCACAATAACGACTTGAAAGAAAGCGATTCGAAGGTTATCATGAGCCGGTACATTCAAGATTCTGAAGAAAGCCCAACTACAGCTCAGATTCTAATGAAATATTATGATAGTAAAATGTATGCTTATATGGAAGCAAATAAATTTGAAAAACCTCGTCGTTCAGGCATATTTTCCAAAATCAATAAGTCTGATATTAAAGGTAACACAGATGTTCAAAATTTAGGCCGTGCCAGAAGCTCAAATATGAGATTTAAAGTACAAAAGTCTTAAGAAACTAATCCAGTTGAGCCCAGTGATTTTCATATTTATTCTTTATCAATTAAGTCAAACATTTGTGGGGTTTTGGGGTTTTGGGGTTTTGGGGTTTTGGGGTTTTGGGG